AGGTGGGTTGTGTCCCACAAACGTGATGAGATCCCATCATTCGGTTGGATGGTACTAGCAGTTGGATACAGCCCGCGGCTATCCAACATGCTCGGTAATGCATACGTACCTCGGTGATGGACTCGTAACAATTAGCTCAGAAGCCGCAGTATTGCACTCTGCGGTGCGCTTCAAGGTGCAGCGCGGTACGAGAAGATGCATGGACGCTTGGCGCCAACGACACACCTACACAGCAGCTTCGTGCGTCTAGCTGAATTAGCGTCGAGGCAACGTAGCTCTAAGCGCTTCGACATGCAACACCGTGGCTGCATACCGCAGGGTCGACTCCACCGTATATATCCAATCAAACGAGGAGCTCGCACGTAGGACCGTTGCCATATAGAGTACATCAAGTCGTCGCTCTATTCTCGCTGTGTAAAGGCCATGATGGCCATGAGGCCGACGGCGAGGATCTTGAGGGCCGGGTAGTCGTTCATGAGGATGGTTGCCATGCCCACGTACGGGATCGAGGCGCGCGCAATGCCAACGATATCGCCGCGCTGCAGCCAGAGCTGGCCCGGCGCGTAGAGCCCACGGTCGTCGACGTTGTTGTTGTCGCCCTTGGTCAAGTAAAAGTCGACGCCGTCCGACTTGCGCGTATGGACTTTGAGCACGCGATGGACGATCGGGATGTCCCGGTCCTTGATCTTGAAGACGACAATGTCGCCAATGTCGAGGTTGGGCTTGTTGTTGTCGAGGAAGAGGATGTCACCGCGCTGGAAAGCCGGCTCCATGCTGCCACTGAGCACGACGACGATCGGCGACTCGCCAAGCGTCCAGCCCATGAGGCCGCGCCAGATCATGAGCGCGCTCGTGATGACCATGATGAGGTTGAGCGCCTGATGCGTGAGCTGCCGCTTGTTCTTGTTGAGGCGTCGGACCTCTTCCACCTGCTGCTCGACCATCTTCATCATCGTAGCGTCGTCGGTCTCGGCCGCGGAATCGCAAAATTGAGACCACGTGGCAAGTGAATGCCAACCGGATGACCACAATTGTATCCGGTATTTACCTGTCTAATGTGATATTTTTGATCCTATCATGTATTACGAGAGGTTTTATAACGATACCAGGGGCTGTTCACGCAGCTAGCCAAGAGGAGTAGTACAAAGTGGTGGAGCAGTAGCATGTTTAGTTGTGTAAAGGGTTATACAATAGACTAGTGACATGGGACCGCAATGACAATGTCTGAGACTTGTTCCTTTGGTATCCCAACCCAAACCCTAGATTTTTCAAAAATGTCCCTTTCACTGTGACAAAGTGGCAGCTTGCTCCCAGTACTTATAACGCTGGACTAGAAGGGGTAACATTAGACTACGAGTCAATGGATTCGTGGTTTCTGCCAAAAACTACGCTGGATGTAAAAATTACCTGTAGAAAGCCGCAAAGCTGCAGATCAAAGTCACATATATGTACATTAGGACATTTACGCCGTGCTATTGCTTTACAAATTGCATCAGGGCGTGGACGTGAGCTCGACAATGTCGGGGACGTCAATGTGGTCGCCAGACGAGCCCGATTCGTGCGCATCCCACGCCAAGAGAAGCCCGCTCTCCCAGTTGCGCACCTACGCCAGCGACTCCACGTTTCATCATCACCAATATGACGCTCTACCCAGCGTTGTGTGTCAAACAGCGGACACGTGGTGCGTGTTTCTTCGAGTTTTTTGCGAATTTCCCAGAGTTTGTCCATGTCCAAGGCCAGTGCGACGGCCAATTCTTCGTACCTATCCCCAACGTCTACTTCGTTGGATCTACACTAACACATAAGTACTCTTCAATGGTCTTGGTGATGAGCTCAGGCAAGTCGACGGCTTGAAGGAGGCTCGAGGCGACGCGGCCAGCCATGTGCCCGCCTTCGAGCGTGATCATGGGCGTGCCTACGCTGCGATTCCATCGACTCTGGTCGTGTCGGCTGCCGTACCGCTCCAGAGAATATCGCAGCCGACGGTTTGCGCATTGTACGTCGGCGTGTCCAAGAAGAGATCGGCCAAGTACCTGCACGCATCAGCGTCCTCATACACGGAAAACAAGTCATTCTACCCGCGGCGAAGGTGCTCTTCCTTGGGCACGACGTCCGTAAAGTGGAGTCGCGACTCGCGAATTCCGTGGGCTTTAGCCTCGGCCTTGAGGTTGGTCTCGGCCAGGTCTAGGCGTAGTTTAGGGCGGTGTCTAGGCAAACGAGAGTACCGTCGCCGTGGTAGCGCAGAAGCCACAGAATCGAGTTGGGCACGCGCTTGAGAATGTGCATCCAGCTCGTAAACGTAACAGGGTCCAGCTTATAGAGCTGGCTAAAGTTGCAAAACACGAATTTGTCTTCGGGCACTTCGTACTGGCCGCGCGTCGGGCACGTCTCAATGTCCAGAACGCTCTGGTACGCTTGTTTATGGTCGTTGACGACGAACGAGTGCGGGAGGTAGATCATTTTCTCGACAAACCCAGTGGCAGCATCACCAGGGGGCACGACCACCTTGTCGGCCACGAGGTACTGAATGTAATCGGCGCCCAGCGACGCTGGAAAGCCCAAGTAGGCCATTTGGAGAGGAGCCGGTCGCAACGCGAAAATCTCCGTGCGGGCACCTAGCAATAAAACAATCCATTGCGTGTTGGATCGTGCAGTTGGATACTTGGATAGTACCTTTGGTGTAGCCGTTCAAGTCGATGAGAATGTGGATGCCGTCATTGTGGATCAGATGGGCTGCGTCGCCGTTGGCCATGGCGCTAATGTCCTTGAAATGCTCGGCGTCGGTTTCGATGCGCCGACGCCACTGCGATTGGTCCGAGATGGACGTCGCATAGCAAGTCACTTCGAATCGCGATGTGTCGTGCAGGCCAAAGACTGAGGCCATGAGATGCGCCGTCGGGTGGTTGCCAAAGTTGGCGCAGACATAGCTAAGCATATAAGAAATATATAAGAAATATTGTTGACGCGGTGGTATAATTAATTACCCAATTTTGAGCCGCTCGTCCGAGCGCTTGGCACGGTACCGGACGTTGGCCATGTCGACAAGCGACACGTTGAGTTTGGCGCGCTGAGCAAACCTAATTTATAGCCTTAGAAGATGCGTTTTTGAATTTTGGAGACCGTTTGGCGATTTCCAGCGATCGGGTCGGCGGCAACGCGTAGATGAGCGCATGGAACGGCTGGACCGCCGGCAAGTTGGTGTCAACACTCATTTGGCGCTCGAGAAGGACCAGAATTTTCTTCATGTCCTACAAAATGATTGGCCCTTGGACCTCAACAAACTCTAGTTGCGACACTTGACGTACCTCGGAGCGCGACCGCCAGTCACACACAATCGCGAGCGAGTGTACATAGTTGGCCAACGCTTCGGGAAATTCCGGCCGCAAGCTCAGTGCCTACAAAGAAAAATGCTACATTTCCGAACTAAAATGATACCAACCTTGCGAAAGCACGTGAGCGCTTCTTCGAGCCGCCCGCCGTCCTTGTACGCGACCGCCAGGTTGCTGTACGTGTCGGCAAACGCCGGTTTGAGACGAATCGCAGTGCTGTAGCACGTGATGGCTTCCTCCAACCGCAACAGCTCTACGCCAGTGTCCTCTTCTGTGGCGTGCAGCCTTCCGCACCTTTGTAGGCGTTGCCCATGTTGCTGAAGGCGTCGGCGAACGTTGGGTCGATCGTGATGGCCTCCTGGTAGTGCGCTAGAGCTTGTTCGACCTTGCCCTGCTCCTTCAAAATGCTAGCACCCACCGCGTTTGTATCGAGTGTTTCTGTAGATTCCAATACCTTCCGAGGTTGCTGTGGGCGGCGGCAAAGCGAGGCATGAGACGAACCGCCGTCATGTAGCAGTGAATGGCCTCCTTGATCATGCCCTTGTCTTTGAGCGCGTTTCCAAGGTTGTTGTACGCAAAAGGGTGGTCGGGTTTGAGCCGCAACGCTGTCCGATAGCAGCTAATCTATCAACGCAAATGCTCTTCCAAAAGGCACATCTTCATACGAAGGACGCACTGCTTGCTCGAGCTGCCCAATGTCGCGCAGTGCGTTGCCGAGGTTGTTGTACGCATCGGGGTAGTTGGGCTCGAGCTGGATCGCGGTTCGGTACGTCGAAATGGCAAGCTCGATTTGATTTGCGTCAAAGTAGCTGCTTGCGAGGTTGCCTACAGTCCACATGCATAATTTCCAAAAATTAAAGAATAAAATACAAAAATATTCGACTCGTACCATGAGCAATGGCAAACTCTGGGCGCAGCGCAATCGCCGTCTTGTACGCCTCGATCGCTTCGGTGGGCTGACCGCTTTCTTTGAGTGCATTGCCAAGGTTGCTGTAGGCGTCAGCAAAGTCCGGGGCGAGCCTGCACCGCTCATGTTTAGCCACCATGACTAGAAATAAGATGTACCGAATGGCTTCCTTGTAGTGTGCAATGGCCTTGTCGAGCTGCCCGTCGTCTTTGAGAAGCCCCGCGAGGTTGCTCCACGCAATGGCAAAGTTGGGTTTCACGCGAATTGCGTTCGTGTAGCACTCGGTAGCGTCTTCCACGAGGCCCTGCGCCTTGTAGAGGTTGCCGAGGTTCGAGTGCGCATCAACGAGGCACGGGTCTAGCACCAGCGCCATCTTGTACGTCTCGATGGCCTCGCGCGTCGCGCCCATTTGCATATAACTCGACGCGAGATTGTTGTAAACGTCGGCGAAGCGCGGGTTGAGTTTGATCGCGCGCAAGTAGAATTGGACGGCGCCGTTCATGTCGCCAATCTCCTTGAGCGCGTTTCCGAGGTTGCCAAAGGCCTCGGCGAAATGCGGCTCGATGCGGATGCACTGCTGGTTGTAAAAAATCGACTCGGAGAAATTCCGCACTTGAAAGTGGAGCGCGCCGAGCAGCAAGAGGTTGTCGGTGCGCGACGCGTCGGCCGCATACAAGTGTTCGCAGATGCGAATGCCCTCCGTGTACTTGCCACAGTTGTACTCGTGGTGCGCCGCATCGAGTAACTCTATGTGCCAGTTGAGAGAGATTGAGCGATTCGACGGCGGTCCTACCTGCAAACTGCTGCAGCGTTGATGGGAGATCGATGGCCTCGGGTGACGACAAGTTGACGGGGTGGATGGCTGCAATCTTGGCCGGGTGCTTCTTCCGAGGCGGCTCCATCGTCCAAGCCTGAAGTCGTTGAGCCGAGCGACGGTTTCGAGCCAATAGACTTTAGTTATAATCCTTCTGGATACAACAGAGCGGTCGTCCAACCTTGAAGTGAACGCATTGCGCGTAGACTTTTTCTACAAAGAGCGCAGCGTTAACATCCGCCGGTCTATGGACATTTACGGCCAAACGCGTTTATCAACACTGTGCTGGAAGTCTAAAAGGTTATAGAATCTTCTAGTTTAATGCGAATTCCCTTCCGGCACGGTGTAGCGTGCACACTATGTAACGTCGCGCCGACCTTCACTTTCGTCTGCGAAACCAAGAGTCTATTTAAGCGCAGGTAGCATGGTGGCGCCGCTGGGCGTCACGCTCTCGTTCTTGGACGATTTCATCGAGTCGCACGGCGGGTTTGACGTCTTTGCGACGCTAACGACGCGCGACGTCAACTTGCAGTTTCTCCAGCCGCTCACGGCCTCGTCGCAGCTCTCACTCGTGGACCAGCTCACGGTAGCCCATGCGGACGTCCTCCCCGCGCGCTACTACGTCTCGCACGCGTGGCCGTACCTCTTTGTCGACGTCGTCGAGAGCCTCCACGTCTTCTTCAGCGACAAGCCAAGCGCCGACGCGGTCGTGTGGCTCGACCTCTTTTGCAACTCACAGCACGCCAACACGGACTTTGCGAGCCTGACGCGGATCATTTCGTCTGCGATTGGCGCGATCCAGCGCGTCGTCATGGTACTGCTGCCGTGGGACCGGCCGATTCCGCTCACGCGCGCGTGGTGCGTCTACGAAGTGTACGTGGCCGTCGCATCGCGCAGCCACTTTGACGTGGCCATGACGGAGGCCGAGACCAACCGGTTCACTGCGCACGCGAGCGTCGAGTCGTTCTTTGACATGCTCGGGCACGTCAAGAGCGAAGCGTCCGAGTCGTACGACCCTAGCGACAAGGCGCAGATCGTCGCCACGATTCACAGTACGATCGGCTTTCGAGACATGGACACAATGGTGTTTCGCGTGTTTGAAAACTGGATGACAAGCACGCTCTTGGCCAAAGTGGACGCGACGCCGCAGACGCTCGGGCGGTCGAATTGGCGCTTCAAGCTTGGCTCGTTGTACCACGTGCAAGGCAAGTACGACCTCGCCGAAGCTGCGTTTGACGCGTGCGTGTCTGCGCGCCTCACGCTGCTCGGCGGCGACCACCCGGAAACGCTGTCGGCCCAAGCACATCTCGCGCGCACGTACAAGGCCCAAGGCAAGTACGCCATCGCGGCGACGCTCTTACGGCAGTGCCACGACGTGAGTAAGCGCACGGGGCAGGAAGAATCGCCAACAGCACTTCTCGTGCTCGACACGCTCGCGGCGACACACCAGTGCCTCGGGCAGTACGGCGATGCGGAAGCGCTTTTTGAATCGTGCTTGACCAATCGGAGGCGGACGCTCGGGGATGCCCACCAAAGCACGATGGTCACGATGGGCAACCTCGCGAGCTTGTACCAAGCCCAAGGCAAGTATGAGCTCGCGGCGCCGCTCTACGAGCGCTGCTTGGCAGCGAGCATCGCCAGCGTCGGCCACGACAACCCCAACACGCTGATACTGAGAAACAACGTGGCAGTCAACAAGAGCGCGCTGCATGACTATGCGTCGGCCGAGGTTTTGTACGCACAGTGCCTTAGCGACAGCGAGCGCATCCTTGGGCCCGACCACCCGAGTACACTGGCCACGATGAACAACCTTGCGGCTACGTATTACCACCAGCGAAAGTTGGAGGTGGCCGAGACGCTGTATACGCAGTGCCTTGGCGCCTGCCAGCGCGTGCTGGGCGACACACATCCCCAGACACTCTCGGCCATGAACAACCTCGCCGCACTTCTCAAAGACGCTGCCAAGTTGGACGACGCCGAGAAGCTCTACTTGAAGTGTGTGGCCGCCAACACCAACGTGATGGGGGCTTGCCATCCTCAGACGCTCACGTCCATGAGCAACCTTGCCATTCTGTATGATCGCCAGGGAAAGCTCGTCGAGGCCACGTCGCTTCTCGTGCCGTGTTTGGCACGCCGCCGCGATGTGCTGCCACCCGACCATCCGAGCCTCATCCACACGATACGGGAGCTCGGATGGCTCTTTGAAAAGCAAAAGGACTTTGCCGCTGCCCAGCCTCTTCTTGCCGAGTATGTCGAGCTTCAGGGCCGCCGCGTCGGGTCGCCCACCAACGACGTCCTCCAGCGCAAGTGCAGCCTTGCCGAGTGCTATACGCAGACCAAAAACTTGCCAGCTGCCGAGATGATGCTGCTCGAGTGCGTGGCGGGCGCCAAATGCATGCACGGGGAGGCGGCCCCCGAAACCCTCAAGATCGTTGCGCAGCTCGAGGACTTTTATGTGACCAATCTCGCGAGTGCCATCACGGCCAAGGACTGGACATTTATCGCTCACTATCGCCAGGCGCTCGAAAGCTTTGGGAAAACCAACGTCCTCAGCGACGCGACCAAGCACCAGATCGAGAGCTCCAAGCACTTGATGCCTGTGGGGACGCCGCGCAAGGTCATCAAATCCCTGATAGTGTCGCCCCGCGCCGAAGCTCTACAAGAAAAACCCTAGTCCTCGTCAATATATGCGTTCCATCTCGCGATATACAGACTCAACAACGCAGCAAAGCATCCACATGCTCTGGTCACATCCGACGGCAACACAATTACAAACGCAACACGAGCTGAGTGATACTGTTTGATTCATAGATTAATGTGTAGTCAGCCGCGGTCGCAGTTGCTCGGGAGTGCCCAGCTCGACGGCGCGACGTACGCCTTGAGCTTGAGCGGCACCGGAATCGGACCGAGACCGTCGTTC